CCTTTGATAATGTCCAGCGCAGTTGTGGACGAAACGTCAGGAAGAAATTCCCATGGACCACGGCTTCAAAGCCCGAAAAACATTTCTAAATGTGATTATTAATCGTTGCAAAGATTGTCAATTTAGTGGGAATGTTTGTCAATTGTTCAGTTGTTTAAAAAACATTTAACTTTCTGGTTAACGTTTTCAGTTTTATTGCATACAATTGATAATTTGGTGAGAACAATTGCAACTCACACACGTTCATCTTGCATGTTCCAACTTCTGTATTATCACGCTTTCCAGGCCTGCACCAAGGAAAAGCGGCCTGTTCTCGTCACGACGCCATCATCAGTTCAGACGACACCGACGCCACAGACGGCGGACACGCGATCTAAAAAGTGACACGCAAAAAGAGGCAGAAAGTTGCGGAAATGTTGAGTTTTCGCCGCACATGGGCCATGTGTAATATGATTCCAAGCACCGTTTACATGTGTATAATCACCACTTTGTCAACGTGTCTTTTCACCTCTCGATGTAATTCACTAATTAAAAAACACGTTTTGTACAGGTATTTGCACTGTTGTCACTTTGGGATTAATAAGCGGTGGTTGATTAGGGACTTTGGTCTTTTGCGCTTTGCGCGAACGGATCAGGAAGATTAGATTCCGTACAACTTACCCAAAATAAAGGCAAAACAACCACTTTTCTAGTCTGAAACGGTTTCGTATTGTTCTCGTTTTTAATTTATTGTGATCTCCTTAATGCAATACTTAATAGCCTGTAAGTAGACTTAATGTTTGTTTCGTTGATGTAAATAAATGTTTAAATACTCCCAAAGTTTTAGTGTATTTATTAGTCACAATAGCGATGGTTCAATSTACAGTTTCTATAAATGTCTATGAAAAGTACTGAAGCGAAGGCATCAAGCGGTTGAGAGCATTTGAGAAGATGGAGAAAAAAACRGRAACCGTATTTGGTTACGAAGTAACGAGGACGAAAAACATTTGGYTTGATTGTTCGAATTTGAAGTTGTTATCGGYAACTCCTTGTCTTCAGACAAAACTGAAGTCAATCAGGCAAGTTAAAATAGGTCCAACRGTTTTTCAAAARCTTTATTGTAGTGGAYCTTAGGCACAATTTTGCTGCACAACATCGATTGTTAGTTCTTAAAACAATATTTGACACACAATTTAACAGTGCATGGCAATTTGCRATCTCATTTGCAATGATAAATACCCGGTCGTTTGAAGATGATTTTCAAAAGTGTGTAATACATTTTTCTGCAAATTGATGGACGATCTGCATTTTKTGCACTTAAACTGCTTTAGTGTGTATAATTGTGTGTGTACTTKAATTGTAAGTTKAAAAGAAGGCGAAACTCGAACAGGCATTTAGTACATGAGCACCCTTAACCTAGTATTTGCAGTATCTGCAGCTTCTCTCTTGATAATTTGTTGATTCATTGTTATCAGCGTTATAAAATAAACTGCACGAACACAATAATCACACTCAATAATTGATAAATCAAAATCACTGTCAGTTTAATAACGCAATGTGTATTTGAAAAGTTTATCAGATGTACAGATGCACCCGCACTAAAAGTGCATATGTGCGTCCCAAGCCTCAACCGAGAAAAACCGATTCACCCTCCCATAAAAAGTTATCACTTCAAAAACGGTTTGGTGCTTATAAGCTTTTACTCAAACATATTCTAAGAAGTACAAAGTATCTACAGTGACTGATCCCTGTCATCTTGCGACCTCTCTAATCCAAGATTCCGAAGCTATCATAGTACGGCAGCAGATGTTCCATGTGCTTGCGGTACCGCTCGTTGTTGTACGCATGATACCGAAATCCCTCAGGACTTTCGTCCTTGATGATGTTTTCAAAGGAGGCATCAGTGCGTCCTTCTGCAGCCTTGACGAAAGCCAGCACTGTGGCTGCGCCCATCAACCCTACGAAACCAGCATAAGTGACCACTGAATGTGCTTCCAGAGTCTGGCTGGTACCATAAAAAGCTCGATAGTTGTAGTCCTTTTTAAACTGCTCCCGTGACGGTACCCGTTCCAGAGAGTACTGCAGTTTGGCCAGGTTAGCGATCAGCTGCGCATAGTAATGATCGAGGATAATCTCGATATGGTCGAGCTTCACCTGGATTTTGGTACTGGTTGCAATGAAGTAGTGCAGGTCGATGGCTGGGCTGGTGAAGATGTTCATTTGGAAGTCGATCTGCCAGAGGGAATTAATCAACGGACCATCACGATCTGCTTGAATTGGAACGTACAAATCGCATGTCCTTCAGATTTCCATTCGGATGATAGGCAAACATCATGTTGTTCACCCATAAGTCGCCGTGGTTTAACACGTTGAAGCCTCCCAGTTTGCGCTTTTGCGCCCTGAAGCCTCGATCCAGAGCCTGTTCGCCTAGAGCCTGCAGCTTGTAGCCGTACTTCTCAAATCCTGGATGTTTGGAGGTTTTTTGGAATGTAGAGATTATCGCCTACCCATATTTAACGTACCAGGCCATCGCGAGCACGCATCGATTAGTCCTTTGTAGCCAGCAGCCACCCAATCTCGAGTAAGTGGATTATTGCCGTAAAGCCCTTCAGAGTACAGTTTAACAAGAGAAGGATCCTAAAAGAGGCAATTTTTATTTATTTTTTTTGTCTTTGCGTTGCCTTCTGTAGCCGCAAATGAACAACTGCTGCTTAAGCAACAATTAAACACGAAGGGAGTTTAGCAGAAACACCCACTTACACCTGGCAAGGAAATCTATTCTAAATTTTTAGTGCTAATAGAATCTTCTATATCTATAGAGTCTACTTACATTTTCGTACATTATAACTGAAGCTGCATGCATTTGAGCCAATTTTTCCACAACCAGGAAGCAGTGTTCCAGATCGAAGCCAATATGTCTGGGAAGAACATTGAACCCCAACGCCGTTAAGTCCTCCAGAATGATGATTTTGTGAGGAACCAAAGAGGTGAGCAGGCACTTAGAGGACAGGGTGTAGAAACTTCCTGAAACCCAACAGTTAGTCTTCAAACTGCAGAAAACATTCCTCATCCCACCCAGGACATCGTACATGGCCGGAAACGTCCTGCCAAACATCTCCGCCTCTTTCTCGAACAAGTTCAGCTCCTTCTCCAGGTTCTCCTTCACACCGCCCTCCTCGTTGGCGCATTTGACTATCACGGAAATCACTTCGATTCTCCCACTGGAACAGAACTAGAGTGTGAGGAAGAAGATTGGTGGGAGTTGGAGTTACCTTTTGGAGCAGCGATACTTGATGGTGCTTCTAAAGAGGTCGCTGGTGTAGTTTTCCCCAGCTGGAATGGCGTCTTTAGTCGACACATCCAAGACGTGGATGTCGGAGTTTTGGTGGAAAATGCGCAGGGCGTTTTGGAAGAGCTCCTTGGTGAACCAAACTGGTACCAACATGATGGTGGCTGAAGAATCGTTGCCTGGGAGGAGGAAAATTGCTTGGTGAGTTCGTTTTGAGATSAGATTGAAACTTTCAGATGCAGTTGGAAGTTTGACCCGGAATCTACAAAGTTCTTGTGCWTACTGTTGAATGTTTTGAGCTTCGCGGTGTTTAAATTTTTTAAATGTTCCTCAATGTTTAGGGCTAGTTGGGAATGTAGATAATGTGTGTTKAAACTTTTCAGGCACGACGCAGTAAGAGAAGAACATCCTGAACTTTTGTAAGTTGAGAGTGTTTTGCTCCATTCTAAGCAGTGTCTGTTCTGATCAGCCATTCTGGGCAGTTATTTTTCGCACTCAACCGCTACATTAGCAGATTGAGAATTCAGCATTGAAAGTTTAGCTGTTTAAAGGCAATTTGATGTGAAAGTCGCTAGAAACACTTCGGGCACGGTTCAGTAAGAGAAGAACAACCTAAAAACTATCAAAAGAGAAAGACTTTCGAGGCCATTCCTTGAAACTAAAGGGTTTTTCGGGTTTTAAGGCCGTCGTTCGCTAGAATTTCTCCTTGACGTTTC